GATGGATGGATGGATGGATGGATGGATGGATGGATGGATGGATGGATGGATGGATGGATGGATGGATGGATGGATGGGATGGATGGATGGATGGACGAGCAGCACTCAGCCCCGGGTCGCGGTGACGGCCATCGCCGGAGCGGAACGCGGCAGCGGCCGAGCGCTCCCTCCGCGCCCGCTGTCCCAGCGCTGCCGCCGGCCCGGTCCCGGACTGTCCGCTCCCGACCCGCAGGGCTGCACGAAGATGCAGAAATGTGCCCCGAGCGGGAGCAGCGGCAGTTCCACTGCAGCCGGGGCTTTTTTCCCAAGGTTGGCGGTTGGCGCAGCGCGGAGCCGACAGCCATCGGCTGGAACCACGGTACAGCTGGGGTGTYCATCCCCGGCCCCACGCCGCTGTCACGGCCTGGGGTCCACCCTCAGGCTCGGCTGGGCATCTCGCACTCAGCCCCCCAGGGTCTCAGCCGCTGCTGTCACATCYAAGCAGCAAGGGCAGGCCTGTGGGACAGAGCTATTAGTGAATATAYCCGGCAGTAACTATTCTCCTTCCAGTATTTCCAAGAACAGCTGTTGGGGACGGAAACAAGACGTGATGTTCCACCACTGACCTCCARCACAGGTCCTGTGGCTCGTTTTTAGCTTGGACAGTTTCCCTTCAAGTGTTAGTTCTAAAAAAAATGTGCCCCTTAATTAAAATTTCTTTGCTAACTTAGTTTTCTTCTTTCTTTTCTCATTATGTTTTATAAGCCTTGATTTCTACAGCACAGACTGTTTTCCATTTATGGGCAAAATGCTTTAAATATTTGGGTCCATTACTAGTATTAAAGCTGTTGGATGATGGGTAGGTAATAAGTTAATAAAAAAATTACTTGTGAATTTTAATTTTAAATCTTTCGTGAGTCTTTAAAGACATTTTCAATAGGGGATGTAATACCTTATGTCAGAGACATTCCTCCCTGAAAGAGAAAGCAGGAAATATGAAATCTGAGATTGAGATAACTCCAGTTTACTTTGGCAGAGAGGAACAGACTGGATCTCTGGCTAATTAGTGCTGATGCCATCACATGTTATAATGGTTTTACTGTGAGTCTCGCAATTTGCATATGTATGAGATAGATACACGTGTGCTGCGCCGCAGTCTTTACACTTATGTTATACACATTTGCACTCCACCACAAAGTAATTTTCTAATTCTTGTTTC